GGAAAGAGTTGAAAGCGCTAAACAACAGGCTTTGTGATAAGAAATTTGTCATCAAGCAAAGACTGACAGGTCTGGAGGGCAGCAGCAGGAATCAAATGATGGTTTTTCTGCATGTTGTTTAACTCAGTGTCCCTTTGAGGGTACTTGACCAGAAGTTAAATGCGTTTGAAATTCGACTGAGTTTTCAGCGAGGAAAAGTCACAAGTACTTCGAATAACATAAAGCCTGATTGAAAGTAATATCGGTTGGTTTGGCCATTTGAAACAAAGGTCTGATCACTCCGCAACACAAGGTCATAGATCTGCAGATTTCAGGTCAGAGAAAAGGGAAAAGATCAAAGAAAAATGCCCTGAAGCTTTAAGATTTGAGCAAGAGTTAGAGTACTGCAAGAGTCAGAGTATTGGTTCAGTAGATGCTTTTCGACGAGGTAACTTTGGGTACTAGAATATCTGAACATTGTTTAGGGCCGGGTCTGGACAGATGTCATTTTCATTCTTTTCCTGTTTCCACGGCGCAGATGTTTTTCGATTTAAGTCAGCTTATTTTTAGTCGCTACAGCCGCCGATGTTTAGTTTCAGGTACAGATCATAATTTAAATGCCCTTTAATTAGTGGTTCTGCAGAACTGATTATCAACTACCAGTTGGCAGTTAATATCTAAAATATATTATGCTAAAAAATACAAAAAAATTCATATTTGAACGTTTTGCATATTCTGCTTTAGAGTGATGATCTTGCCATTGCGAAAATTTTGACAGGTCAATGAGAAACGAGTGGGCGTTCAAAGACATTCGAAGAGAAATCGATGTGATCAATACATCTGAAACTGAATACTTCTTCACCTCCGGAATATTCGTAGGCAAAAATAAAAGCGGTTCAGGACATAATTGCAAATAATTGCGCGAATATTAACTACGATGTCGTTCTTTAAACGTCCGCTCATCTGTCACAGATTTTCTTTCTACTTCACTACAGCCATTTCGACAAAATTCGTCTTGATTTCCAGAAACAATGGTAACAGTTTATTGTCTTGAAAACAGAGCGAGGAGCATCAAACGTATTATGGTAATTAATTTTTGATCAAACATTAGAATTTATTTTCCAGGTTGATAATTTAATTAATTTAATCATGAGCTGGGTGTTTAACTGGTTCGTGCATTCCTTAAATAAACTTCTTCAAACTTAACGAATTTTCTACTTTTTGACTAACGATCCAAGACGGTAGTCGTTATGAAAATGAAGAGGAATACAAGTGTTCATCGAACTGTCATAATCGGCAACGTTATCCCTACCTTAATGCGATGAGGAAGAGGGCAAAACGCACATTCAGATATTATCCTTGCTTCGCTTGCTTTTCAAGCAGACAGATCACAACCGCAGCATTTGTTTTAGAGACGTAGAGGACAGTTGAGAATATTTTAGACGAATGTTTTGAGATCACACCTCACATCCTTAATTTTAATGGAACAAACTGTGCAGTCACTCAGATTTTACAATACTGTTTTTTATTTGTAAATTTAAAGTTTATTATTTATTTCAAAGTTGTCAGGCCGACCTCGAATTTATTGCACTTGGGAAAATAACTAGTGCAGCGAGTGGTTCCTGTTCTCAACTTAATTGTCAACTAGGAACCAAGAAATCCGTGACTCCCACAGTCAATGCTACAAGAAGAAAGTTCCCGCTGAATGTCGGAACTTTCATTCCTTGTTTGGAGAAAGCAAATTTGGTGATGTCTGCCGTACAACCCGCACACACTCGTTGTACAGCAAGCCACATAGGGAGGACCATGCTTGATCTGCAGGATGGGTGGTCATTTTGGTAGTCAAGCAGGGCAATTACGTCATGTTAGTGTAATTATCCTCTTGTCCTCTAGGGTAAGCTGGGCAGGCATTTCTGCATAGCAGGTGTCGGGAACAATTCCTGGCCTGTTAAAAAATGTCAAACATACGACGCTGAATATCATTGTCCCTAAATGTACCATTCTTCTACAAATGTATCGAGTGACAGCGACAAACACACCTTCCATGATTGTCTGCAATTAACTATTAACGCTTTGTTGAGTCATAATTGTCACAGACGGTCTCAAATCGAAGGTGGGCGCCTAGTACAGCATTCCTTACATCGATTGAGGATGTGGAAAATATTGAAATGCCATTGGACACCTGAGCACATCGTTTCTATTGTGGAAGTAATATATGTGAGGACCCTGTCTGCTGTAAAAGTTGAAACAGAGTTACCTGAGTGGATCCCTGTTGGCAGTGGAGTTAGCCAGGGGAGATGTGCTCTCGACTTTGCTGTCAACACTGCTCTAGGTTTTCCCCAACCAATACATCGCATACCCTATCAAAGACAAAGGTCTCGCTGCAGAGGAGGTCTCACGTATTTCGAAACATCTGGTTAGAACAGCTAGACATCTTGGTGAATTGGAGAGCGCAGATGATGTATAATTTGTGAGCAGTACTGAAGGCTGGCTATTTCATTTAACGGCATCAGTATGGAGCATAGCTGCGAATGCCTTCCTTTCTTTATCGTTTAGTTAATAGTTATAAGGCTATCGGTTTTGCGGATTCTGACAGCAGAACAAAATGTTGGTTAGCATCCCTGGCTGAAAGACTAAATTCCATGACTCAATGAAATTCAGAGTACTCATAATGTTGTGAAAAAGTGAATGATGTAATATGTATATATATAGATAGATGTATAGATAGATAAACTTTATAAACAATGTACACTTAGATAATGATGTAATATGTATATATATAGATAGATGGATAGATAGATAAACTTTATAAACAATGTACACATAGATAATGATGTAATAGTACAGCTAACAATCAATGTTCTACTTCGAAGCTTGAAACAAATAGCCTCACCAGAGCATTGGAACTTAAA